AAAAAAGTGATACAAAAACGTATTTATGCATCATTTTTATGCATGCATTGCATTAAATAGTAGCATTTGCTTCAAAGAGCATGGTTGGATCCACAAGCCAAAGCCATGCTTTTGTTAATGGCAGCCCTCCCCCCAACTCTGAGCTCACAGAGTAAAATTTCAAATGGCAAAAAGAGCAGAGCAACAGGTACTAATTTCCTGCTCTGGATCTGTTCTTTTTTTGTTTATGAAAGCAATATCCTCTCCCCTGATTAAAACAGGTCCACAGAGGAACTAACAGCAACATATTAGATAGAAAGGGTGCTTAAAAAGTCCCAAATGGCTGTTCTTTAAAGGGATTTCACTGAAAGAGCAGGGGCCACATTACTAACATGTAATAACAGTCTTTTGGGGCTTTTTTCTACTTTATTTTAGTACTTTAGTTCAAGTGAAATAACCTTAAGCTTAAAGTCAGCCCAAAACAACATATTATATCATAGCATTACTGTGGCTGAGTCCTCTCCATGTGGATTAATATGCAGCACAACAGGAATAAACATAGCAGCCCAACACATGGCTACAGAAAATAAACATTCACTACTTTAATATGCACCAAAATACTGCAAAATACCTCTCAGCCAGCGCGAGATAATATTAGCTATTTATTTGTTTTATTTAAAAACGCCTTTTTGTTTTTTCTTATCGTAGAAGACAAAAAAAAGTTGCTGACCGGACAACAAAAACAACTAATTAAGGTTTGATTATTTTTTTTCCCTCTTCGATCAGAAAGCGTCGTTTACCTTTCTCAGCTGGCTCCGCCGCGGCTCTCTGGGTTTGATCGAGGCTGAAATAAAGGCTTAAATGACTCAGACCCTGAAGGACCCGCTCAAACTCTCCGCTTCCCTCTGGTTTCGGTACTTTGTCCGTTTCTCTCTCTCTTTCTCAGCAGGGGTGATTTCCGATCACATGGTGGCTGAACACGCCTCCCAAGGTTCCCACCTCCACGGCAGCCTGTTAACTACTGATTGAACATATATGTTTACAGCTCTACCTGTAACATGAACTTCTGCCACACTTTATTATTAAGATATTCAATCAGCTGATGAGCTGCGTCCAAGGTGGCGTTTATAGCAGCAGCTGGTTGGAGTGAGTGGGAACATTTACTGTCGTGTAAAGGCGCCACCTGGTGGTGATTTTTGCAGCAGATATTGCAAAGGTAAAGTCAATTTTAACGTTGTACACTCCCTTCACGCTATGTTCTATAAGGTTAATCAAAAAAAAAAAGGTGTTTTTTTTTTGTTTTTTTTTTGTTGATATTGCTGCTACGCGCATTTAACTAAACCATCCATATTTCCTAATAAGAGACACGTGGTGTTGTTTTTTTTTTTGTTCTTGAATTAAAGTTAAATAAATATTTTCTGAATTTTTCATTAAACATATATAGGTTTTCTAGATCATATATATATAATAAAATAAAATGAGTTAACTTAATTTAAAGAGAAAAAGCGAAGCGCCCAACGTGGGGCTCGAACCCACGACCCTGAGATTAAGAGTCTCATGCTCTACCGACTGAGCTAGCCGGGCTTGGAACAATCTCTTCCAACATGATATATTAACCCGGTAGAGATGGGTACATTCGAACGTGATCGGCTGTTCATCAGCAACGGTATATGGAATGAGGCTTTTTCGATTGGCTGCGAACCAAAATGGAAAGATGGAAAAGGGAAAACGTTTTTGGATGGTCTCAGCCGGGCTTGGGACATCACTTTTTTTACAAGAAAATGATGTTATCGAGAAGGTGTAAAGTGGTCTTTAGAAATTAGTAAGCAGAAGTGTGATAGCTTTGAACATAAACCACAAAACAGGCTTACATTGGAAGGCCAAAGCCCACAGTAACGTTTAGTTGGATTTGGTAGTATCTAGTTCGCTGTCGATGCAAGTAAAGATAACTGCTGTCAATTTAAGCCTCCGGTGGTAGCCATGACCCGGATGACTGAGAATTTACACTCTGACCATAAATGCCCCTATGGTTTCTGAAAATTTCGTCTGTGCATGTTCTCGCTTTCCCCGTCTGTTACAGCTGTCTTCAGTATGCTACGAACTTTACAATATAGTACACAAACAATATGGTTGCAAAGCCGAAGAGCTAGCAATAAAATTAGTGAATTGAGGAAAGTACTTAACAGGCTAATGAAACAGCCAATCTCGCTCCGTATAATAATGGACCATCCAATCTGCGTTCTACTGCACAATGGACGTCAGCCAATCAGTGCGGAGCATGGAGCTCAGCCAAACACTGTTGGCATTCGAAAGGTTGGTGGTTCGAAGCACGCCCGGGACGCTCAGTTTTTAAATAAGCTTTTTCTACTAGATATACAGTATAATAGCTCTTTGTAAAAATTGTTGAGGTTCAAAAGGACCAAAATTA